CCCACCACCCCACCCCAACACCACCCCCCCCCCCCCCCCCCGCCCGCCGGCGGGGGCCGGCCGCCCAAGAAACGGGTATGTCCAGTTGCTTGGGGTATCTGTTTCAACAGAGGAAAATTGTAAAGGTGCCAATGACGTAACGACGTAAAAGGGGTGTGAAGATATATACAAAGGAATAATAGGGAAGGGGGAAATGCCCGAGTCGGCGAGCGCCGTGATATGCGGAAAAGTACGGCCCAAATAATCCCTCTGAAGGCGGTTCCCAAGGCGGCCCTCAGAGGACACGGCGGTACTAGCGGAACACGCCGAATGGCGCGCCGAAGTTATTGTTCCGCCTGATCTTGAGGGGAATATCCATCTCCTCGTCACTACTCCTGGAGCTGCTCCTGTCTTTGTTTGCTATGGCGTCCCGGGCACCGCCATCGTGGTTACCTCGTCCATGGCCGTTCTCTTGGCTGCTGGCAGGCTCTTCGGATTCCGGTGAGTCCTTGAGGACGGCGGGGACAGCAGCGGCGTTGGAGGCCCTGCTTACCTCCTCCAGTTTGTCTGATAAGCGCTGGAAGAAGACCTCGTCGTGGGCGGGCATATTCCGGAGCATCAACGGCCCGTTCAATTCAACGTCTTCATCGGGTTCTAGCTTAGGTTCGGGGTGGTCTTGGTCGGTAACGGTGGGCTGCTGTTCGATTGATGTGAAGGGTTCCAAGGGCTCGGCTTCTGTGGAGACGTCGGTTTCGAAGCCATCGCATTGCTGCGGAGTCGGCGTGCTATCCCCACTGCTGCTAGCAGTGGTAACGACCGAAGCAGTTGTCACTGTTGGGAGGACGGATAGCGAGTGGCTTGGCGTATGGCCGGCGTGCATGGTCAATCTGTCGGTCGCATCGGCCGCCAAGACTTGTAACGTCTGTTGCTTATTCGATGCTCGTCTAGGCACGCCAGGTGGCGGTTGGTCGGCGGGAGGAGAGGCTTTAGGGTCGGTAAATGTAAACGTAGGCCTTTGGATGGCAGCGGCCTTGATGGGAATTCCCTCGAGGGTGGGGATAATCTCTTGCACGTCGACGGTCGGCTCTGGGGTCATATCTTCCTTATCGGCCATTGCGCTTTGTTCGGGGGTTGGCGGAAAGCCGTTGTTGGCGGTTGGAGGGAATGATGACGATTCGAATCTCCTAGGTGGAGGAAATCGGGACTCTGACAGTGGAGGGGCAGGTGGCGCGAGTGCGTCGGCGATGCACGCGACTGGGGGTGGGTGTTTGCGGGAGGTGTCCCCACTCCCCGGCCCATGACGTTGCCTCGGCCGCGCATTTCCTTGTGACAAGCCCGGACTCGCCATGCTCTCCGGCGACAGGTCCCAACCGCCACCGCCCCGTAAACCATCCGGCATGGGGGATTCTCCTCCGTTCGTCAGGCCGTCGGTATTTGCTGACGGGCCATCCCCCCCAAGCCCAGCAACTTGCTGCCGTAGCGAGGCAATCTGGCGCAACAAGCCCTCCCTCTCCGCCTCCCACTCGGCACGCTCCTCCTCCATGAGCCCTCGCTCTTCCTTGTAGACCTCCTCGGCCCGCTCACGGTTGGCCTCCAAATATTTGCGCTCCGCTTCCCAGGCCTCGCGTATCCGCCCATTTTGCTGCGTCAAACGTCTGATCACCTGGGCTTGCGACGGCGGGCTTGGTGCATCTGCCGGGATCGGCGGCGATAGAGCGGCTGCGCCTTGCTGATGCGATTGAAGCTGTTGGTACGGGGCTTCCCGCGGAGAGAAGAGTCGCCAAGATTGAGAGACTGAAGTACCTGGACGGCCAGGCGGAATCGGTGAGTAGGCATTGTTGGGCCGACCCTTGTTGCTGTGTGAAGCTTGACCTTCCTCAGCGTGGATCGTAGAAAGACGGGCGTTGTTGGCCTGGCTGGTGACGCGGATAGGTTGATCGAAATATCCCAAGGACCCCCGTGGAAGGGCGAAGGGGGAGATGACGGAGGAGGGTGGATCACTGGCGATACCAGGAGGAAACGAGAGAAGCGTATCGTGTTCAAGGGAGCCCGAAGGCAGGCATACATCGCCGGAAAGTCTCGCCATGCCGGGTATCGTAGGATCGGCCCAGGGAGAGACGAGAGGGTCAGGAAAGTTGGAAAGGTAGGCGGGCGGTAGGCTGGGAGGTAGTTTAGTTACTGCCTAGGCAGTTGAAGTCATGCTGTAGAACACACGGCCGGTCGCATCGCCAAGGTCGTCACTTTCTTCCGCAACCCAGTGACGGTTTATTTGTCCTCCGTTCGACGTTTGATGTTGCGCTGTTGGGCAGAGCGGTTGGGGAGCATCGACGGTGGCGCCAGGGTTGTCCCACAGGGGTTCTGACGGCGGAATGGAGGGCCAGGTATGTAACTGTCGATTTTGGCGATCATTCATAGAGTCGTGAGCAAGACAGGTCGGAGTCGACAGGTCGGCGGAAATGGGTGCGAATCGGCAGCTGAGGCGACAACAACACAACAGTTTGGGATGGTGGACGGATTGATGCAAGAGCTAGATTTATCTGTAGGTCACCCGACGGTATCGACCCGAATCGAGCTAATTGGCGGGGCAGGACCCTGCAGTTGCGGGCCACGGGCCACGCTTTGCACCACACCCGGGGGGCACAGCCGGTTGGTCCAGCACATGAAATACTCAAGTTCGCTCCCTACCTAACCCGGTACCTGACTTCCTCGCTAGCTGCCTCCTGACACGACGTAAATCCAGCTAACTATCGTGCAATTGTGCATGGAATCGAGAGCTTCCAGGTCACTTCAGCACCGAGTCTAGCGGGCTCTAGTCGACGAGAAACGCAGGGCTTGCCGCGTACGCATGTAGAAGCTGTTGAACCAGTCGGCCCAGGGGCAAGGGGGGTTCGGCCCGCAAGCCTGATCGTAGATTTCGGACCAATTAACATGGGAGGTATTATCTTTTCCAGCTTCTATTTCCAATTGACAGTCCGCCACAACTATCCAACAACCCATTACGGTTTCACCGTTGTTTGCTCCGACTCCATGTCGACTGATTTATAGGGACCCTAGCATAGCTTCAAATTACCACGGATATCGGACATTCGTGGATGCTATGCTATGCACATGACACCAGCAGCCTACTTGCTACCTTCCCTTTGATTCACCTGCTGTAATTGATACCTTTCCTCAACCTATTCAGTCTCCTCACATCAGAGGTAGGCCACCCGAGTCTAGAAATTGATATCAGAGGCCATCTGAGCTCTTCTCCCGTACCTTGGATTATCGGCCCTATTCCAAGTACGTTCAAAGTCAATATATACGGATGTACTGTACGCAGTAGACGGTACCTCAGATATATGGCGTCATGGACAACAATTTGTGGTGTTATGCTACTGCGTATCTTCCATGTTTTGTTCTCAACAGTTGGAATCCCCGTGGCATGTAGCGATTGAGTTCGACACATAGTTACCCCTTGCATTTGTGTGATGATCGTGCATCTAGACTATGATCATACCAGGAGTCGCATCGATGCCGTCAGTCACCAGTCATCTTGGAAAGTCCGAGGAATTTCACCGCCGCCCCTCGTCATTTCTAGGCATGACCGGTGTGCCGACGGGAGGGGATGCGGCCAGGTTTTCATTTGCCTTGCCCAGTTGCCCAGTCGCTGCAACGGCATTCCTGTAGGGAGTGCGTCTCCCGTCTTTTAAATCAGTATTCAAGTGCCGAGCCTGCCGATCACCCCGGATGCCAGCTACGCTAGGAGGTGGGCTCTTTCGGCGGAGAATTCCGGGGGGCGAACGGACAGACTCGGCAATTGGATCCCGGGCACCAGCCCGACGAGCAATGCTCCCAAGCCGGCAAACGTACCTGAAAAGCCGCCTGGGAGCGGCTTGCCGCCGGAAAATCCTTCCGCAAACTATGACTTCTGAATCCTCCGGGTATCAATGCTCCTCCACCGGTAAGGCTGGATACTCGTTTCTCTGAAACATATTTGCCAAGCTTGGAGAGGCAACGGAGGTGATAAGATGGCTTGGCCATTCTCTGTCTACAGTTTGTATCCCTTGCCTAAGGAGGCCCCGAACAGCCTCTGATGCCAAGGGGAGGGAGTCTTCGATAAACATCCATGTTTAGAGCGAGAGCAAACAAACAGATAAGTCCGTTTACCTTTGTTTCACTGACTCAGCCCTAGAACTAGGTAACTACCCACAAACTTGGAACAGTCTCTAATACCCTAATTAATAAGAGTTCCCGAGAGTGAAACGAGGAACCGAGAAAGTACTGCGTATACCCCAGGGACGTATTCTAAAGATAGTATTGAATATTAGTATTGAGTATGTGCAGTATGCATGCATAAATTCTGAACGACTCAGGCGCTGAACTTATAACGAGCTATCAAGACAACATGAGGCATTTTCCAGCAATGCGCTAAGTCAGGTGCAAGGTAGGGACGATTATGCGGAGACTTCCTGTCGTGAAACACAATTTCTGCTGCACCTGCATGCTGCATCGGAGCCCCGGTATTTTTCTGGAGACTGCCGCCAGGTGGAAACCGAAATCGTTCAAAAGTAGCAGTCAGTCACGAGGGCATACATGACCTCCTCACGTCTCGCATTTCAGAAGTCCGCGGCATCATCCTTCTCCTCGGGGGTGGGCAGAACTCGAAGTAGGAGATTAAAAACATCGGTTGGACTCCCGATCTACCCCCCACCTTGCTCACCGCCATTTATGTACGCTTTGGGGCTAGTTCCAATTCGAGACGTTGAGGCGAAGCACAGGATCAGGATCTGCAGCCCATCGTGGGGGACAGGGAGCCCAAAAGACTGGCTGATTGTGATTGGCTGTTCGTTCAAGCGATAGTGGGAAATGCCGTCCCGGGGGACAGTGGAGACGCCGGTGCCGGGCTAGGTTATTCTGGCGGCTCATTGGCGATTGGTTTCACGGTAACTATCCGGAGTTGTGTTTTGCAAGACTGAAGAGCAATAGGCTCGCTTTCCTCGCTTCTAACCGTTGGTCGTAAATGTAGAGTGGTTTCATCATTTCGAGACTGCCCAAGCGGGAAGCGTTTAAGACTGCGAATCCCAGTGCCTGTCGAGAAGTGACGCCGAGACCTTCCTTGCCAAGGGCGATAATCCGCAGTCGGGAGTTCGTCCGACTTCAACTAGGCCATGCCTATACCTTCCATCTTCAATTTTATTTCCGCTGCCAAGAGACACGTCTTTCGACTAAGTTGGGACAGGTGCAGATTGAAATCCTGGAGTGCAGCGTGGGGGAGATTTCGGGTTGCGCAACGAAATCGCTGAAATTGGACCTCGTGCCCCCTGCCAAGCGGATAGTGCCGCTGCCGCCTCGAATTGTGCAAACAGACAGGAATGTCTTGCCCTGTGAACAGGCGGCTGCAAACAACAAGATATGACAATAGAGAACAGAGCCGATGGAGGAGGGCATATCTAGAAGACAAGATAAGGGTAAGAACTGTCGTCATAGTTATAGCTCTCGGGAGCTTGGCAAATGATAGACGCCTGTCAGCTCAGTACCTTGCATACCAAGACGCGCCGGCCCCAGGTACCACGTTCCGAGTAACTGTGTGGTTGAAACGAGTTCGTATTTCAGACCGAGTCTTCAAGGCTGTTTTAACAGGTTGGTATGTTTCGCGTTATGTATTATTGTGTGTCTGTGAAATGATAAGGGACCTGGTTACATAGGTATGCGCAGTGCGGAGCTGGCTTCAAAAATATGACCCATCCGATTGGGTCAACTACGGAACCGTATCTTGTGTATGCGTAAATCCAAAGCAATACCCAAGCAGTTAGTTCATCATTACAGTTGGCAGTCGGGCACTTTCGTGGAATGATGCAATCGAACCTCACCTTTCTTGGGCGACTGATGATGCGTCCTAGTGAGTTGTGAGGTGCTTCCCACTGGAGCCTTCCCAACCTATGACGTACCCCTTGGCAGGGATGGAGATTGAAGAACCCCAGAAGTACCGTTTACCTACACACCTACATGTCTGTATATATGAATATCATGTTGTAATCGAGGGAGCTCGAGACTGAAGAATGAACAGGGGTGGCCCACACTACGTCTAACCTCTGGCGCGATTCGTAGGCTCGGCAAAGACGGGAACCAGGAATCCTGTTGACGCCAGGTCCGCGACTATCATTACACAAAGTGTGGATGCTGTCGGGTCTCGCGCGGCCTGTAGCAGGAATATGAACTCGATATGAATCTTATTACATACTTTGCAGCGTACTTACCTTGGTAGGTAGGTGCAGGAGATCGCGTCACATGACCAGCGGCGAGTCTTGGAATTGCTGGGCATGGCTTGGCCACCCGCTATCTGCTGTGCAATTCGTCACATATCACTCGTACACCAGCAAAGCATCGAAAAACGTAGGCAGATCAGGAGTAAGACAATGGTTGGCTCAGAAGGTTGCCTTTGATCCCTCAAAGCTTCCTCAGTAGCTTCCCCTTTCAAGAAGCAGAAAGGTTCAATGTAGGAAGGCAGGTTGAAGGCCCCGTGCCGACCGAACCGCCTGGCCCAATCACACTCATTGCTCTGTTGCTCTAGGCGCTATAATTAACTATCGGGCTTAGGGTCACAGACTGTGTGGGTGGTCAATTGGAGGGTGAGATGCCATCCACTGCGGATACAGTAGGAAATAATAGGTGACCAAAAATCACTCATTTCCCGAGACACACCGTAATCATTGTCATCCGGCAGGCAAACGTCCTTCTTTTGCGCCTCCGTTCGTCGTGCTTCGGGACCGTCTGTATCGAATGATCTTGGAAGTCGCCTGCCTCGACGTTGGCAAACTTACCTATCAAAACCGCCATTCTCTCCACGACACTTTCATCATCGCGCTTATGCGTACACGATGCAACGAGATATACCTAAGGTGGCTAGGCAGGTACTTGGTTGCTGGTTGCGGTTACAGCGGTGGGGAGGGCGCAAGTGTCGGGGGTTTGGAAGCGCGAAGACCGACCGACGCCCCCCCCCCCCCTCAATTCAACAACTGCGATAATTACCTATTCGATCCACCTTTTAAGCAGTAATCCAATCACCTGGTCCCAACGCCCCCCCTGGCGTGAATGTACCTGGCCTCGATCGGATTGTGGTGTGCTTGTAGGTACATGCTACTGCGTAGTATTTCTGGATTCGTTCATCGAGGCGCCAAGCAAATGTTGAATGTATCCACTCTCCTTGGTGGACCCCGCCTTCGTTAACTTACCCCTCGTCCATCGACAAGCCCATGCCCCCCAAAAAAGCCGCGGAGACCCTCAAATCCGGGGCACCTTTCTCCTCAACTCTGCTTTCGAAGGGATTTCTTTTCCAGAACACTGAGTTAATATCCTCATACTGCAATGAGTTTATAATTCGCACGCAGGCCCTCGGGCGACAGACTACTCCTTCGATTTCGCCCTGTCTCTTCTCTTTCCTCCTTACGAAGCATACCAGTCGTGCAAGACACAAGCGCAGATCACGCCCCGTTCTGCGCCATCAAGAGCGCCACCACTTCTCATCACTCCTGCTGGGCAGGGCAGGGCTAGGCTACGCAGACACCGAACCTACCACATAATTTCCTCACCGAAGGACACGAAGGTCAGCCTTGGCGACGAGGGATTGGCAGCTCATCATCGTGAATCCGTACTCGAGGCGAGAGTATATAAACAATTGGGTGCCCCGCCTGTCCGCTGAGCCTCGGTTTGTACTGTTTGTGCTGCCAAACGTCTGGTAGCAGTCGCCAAGCTCGCCTTGCTATCTTACAAACTGTGTGCAGTTTCGGAGAGAGGCCGTGGTGAAATCCATCCGGACGACACTGCACGTATATAAACGTATACGCTGTTGCAGCCCCTTTGGAGGAACCAACAAGGACTTGATTCCTTCTGATTGGTAATCCCTTCTTCTCGACTTTTCTTGGCCAACTTTTTTTTTTGGCCACGTCCAGTCGTCCACTCCGATTGCTCCGCCTGCTTGGCGTAGTGTGCACACCCACTTCCGGTCCCGGTGAAGCCGCTGGCCAAGATCCCCGACCATGGCAGTCTCAGTGGTGCTTGCTGCCACGACCATGCAGTCGCCGTCTTCTTTAGGTACATCCACCCACTTCCTTTTTTCATCCCAACCACATGTCTCTTTCTTCAAAGCAAACACCTGACTAAATGTGCGCCCGTGCTGCAGATACAAATCCTCAAGAGCGCAACGCCACATACAATTCCCATTGCCATTCCAATTCCCATTCCAATTCCAATTCCAACTCGAGCCCCTCGTCCTCACCCCGCCAATTTCCTACAGACCTCGGCAGCCCCATTCTTGAGGAGGGCGATGAGACGGATAGCGAGCCTCCAAATGAGCCAGTCACTCCTGTGAGCGGTCGCCAGTCTCAGGACTTTCAGAATCACGACATTTCCTCCGACGCGAACCACGAATCCCTCGCCTCCAAATCACTCCGCCCTGTCGTCAACCACCCCTCTCCTAAACCATCACTTATCCTCAATACCGCCGCCGCCTCGCCTGCAATAGCACCCGACGAATCCTCAAAGTCTCCCTCAAAGTCTCCCGGGACGCCCGCGATAGCCGATCCAGAATCGGGACAAGTTCCGCTTCAACGACGATCAACTCGTGGCTCGACTTCGAGTTTCAAGCGCACAATGTCTAGCCTCTTCCGGCGCTCAAATTCGCAATATGATAAGGCAGGATTCGCCCTGCCCGAGCCTGTTTGCAATGGCGCCTCCGAGAAGAAGGCACCAGCCCGCCGCTGGTCCATGAACAAGAGCTCAAATACAACTCGCTCCAACACACCCCCTTCGCCCTCCCCCAGTTCTTCTCTCGAGATGACGTCGAAGACGCGAGAACAGCCGTCGACCCTTGCGCCTCCGGTTCCCGACGAGTTTTTCAGTTCCAGGAAGAAGGACCGCGCATCAACCGGACTCAGCTTAAGATCTCGCGCTGTGAATTTTGTCACAGGCTCGGGCAGTCTCCATCCAGAATCGTCAAGACCTACCAGCTTCATGCGCCGCCGGGCGTCGAGCGCCGACTTCTCTCAACCACCGCCCCCGCATCGAGTCAACCCCGAGGACCCGATTCATGTGGACAGGGCTTTCTGGGGATTGCCTGCCGAGACTGGCACCGGTGTTAAGGCTCGCCGCATGAGTCTGTCCCTCCCCGACGATTTCAATGTCGATGTCATCGAGCTTGAAGACGAGTTCGAATTCCAGCACAAGTTCCTTGGTCGCCGCGGGAAGCAGATCGGCAAGGGTGCAACGTCCAAGGTCACGCTGATGGTCAGAAAGGGCAGTCCGACAGAATTATACGCCGTCAAGGAGTTCCGTGGCAAGTCGTCAAGAGAAACCCACGAGGAATACGAGAAGAAGGTGAAGTCGGAATACACCCTCGCCAAGTGTCTTCACCATCCCAACATAGTGGAGACGGTGCGCCTCTGCACGAACCGCGGCCGGTGGAACCACGTGATGGAGTACTGTTCGGAAGGTGATCTCTTTACTCTTGTGAACAAGAAGTATCTCAAGAATGATGATCGGGAGACGGACCGGAATTGCCTATTTAAGCAGCTGATCCAGGGCGTCAACTACCTCCACACCAACGGCATTGCCCACCGCGATATCAAGTTGGAGAACCTGCTCATCACCGAAGACAGCAGACTCAAGATTACCGACTTTGGCGTATCAGAAGTCTTCTCGGGAATCCATCCCGGCCTCAGAGAGGCGGGAGGTCAGGTCGGCAAGAACATGGGCGAGGTACGTCTCTGTTCGCCTGGTATCTGCGGCAGCGAGCCGTACATCGCCCCCGAGGTACTCAGCAAGGCGGGCGACTACGATCCTCGCCCACTTGATGTCTGGAGTTCGGCTATCGTGATGATTCACCTAATCTTCGGCGGTGCACTGTGGTTTAAGGCAGAAGCCACCCCGGGCAACGAGAACTACAGGGCCTTGGTGAAGGGATGGGTCAAATGGAATGCCCAGAACGACGACGGGGCCATCATCACCGAGCAGGACTACCCCAAGGTTTTGGCCTTTGATAGATGCGTCAAGCCTCCCGCACTGCGCCGAATCCTACTCCAAATGCTGAATCCCGACCCGGAAAAGCGCATCAGCATCTCGAGCGTCATCAACAACCGGTGGATCAAGAACATCGAGTGCTGTCAAGTTGAGAGCTACGAGGACCCCACCAAGATGATCGATGCGTCAAAGATGCAAACCCTCAACCGCGGTGGGCAGAAGAAGATCTTCTGCCACAACCATCTGCCCCCGAAAGAATTCGGCACTCATTCTCTTGGAAAGATGCCCGGTAGCGCAGGCTACTGATTTATCCACAACCCCTCCGAGTTCTATATATCGCCACGAACCCAATTTGGGCAACGACAGTTATATAAGCCGGCCGGACACTCACGTTTACCTTCCCCCCTAATCTTGCATATTTCTTCTTGATAATCTGGGTCCAATCACGCTGAACCGGAACGGGCGAATACATTCACATAGAGCGGCGTTCGGGGACCCCCCGGAATCATCAACACCTGCATTCTGGTTGTTTTATTTTTGGGTTTTCAACTTTGGCCTCTTTCCTTTTCCCCCTCTTATTTCCCCTCCCCGATCAGGCCATGCGGCTTGGGTGGGGGAGGGGTGTTGGGAGCACCACGAAACGGCCGGGAAACGCGAATACCATTCTGTTGGTTATTATCCATCTCTCGCCTGATTCCCTAATCGCATGGCGAAAGGACACGATGGAAGGTGGCTCACTGGGTAGGGCCGCCAGCGTACATTGGTATATATATCTTGTTGGTTTTTTTTTTTTTTGTCAAGTACACACAACAACACACACCATCACATTGACAGATCGTCATGTACAATCCTGTTGGAAGGAAAGGTCGGCGGGGGGAGGGTCATATGAATGGGTCGAGACTGGAAATTTGCGGTTCCCCAGTTTCTTGGGCTAGCTCTTGTCTCTGTACAGGGTTGCTGCATTTTCTATTCAGAGGAAAGAAACACACCCCAAAAAAAAGGCGAGGCGAAAGTGAAGGGGGAGAGAGTCTGCCCGAATCTAGTTGGATTTAGAAAATGCAATGACAATACAACGTTGCCTTTTCCGTCACCCCGCCTGGCTGGTCTTGCCTTTCACATGCATGCCCCCTTTCCCATCGTGAGTAGGTACAGTACCTGCAAGTTTCTCGAAGCCGTTTCCTCCCTTCCTTTTTCCCCTCTTCTTTCCTTCGTCCCCCCTTCTGCAGATTGCTCAGGACAAGGGTGCCAACGACCTCTTGACTGCATGATCCATCCAACACGTGGTTGGTAGGTAACTGGTCAGCTTATTACGCCCATGGGAATCATTAGATCGGTTGAACTCGGTGACTATTCCTGGCTATCGATCGATCGGTGACCCCGGCTGCCAAGAAACGTTTAGGGCAATGACTTATCTAGCTTGACCTCCTTCGAACTCGTCCCCCCTCCCTCAACAGCGTCCAATGCGTGGCCAAGCCTAAAGCACGCTCCTAGCAAATGGTGTACCGTGTAGATAGATAAAGACGCTTGGCGAGGGGAGGGTACAGTAGGGGAGGAAGATAAAAACAAGGGGAAGTGTATGGGAAAAAGGGGGGGTGGCAAAACAAGAGAGTTAAAGAGGACGGGCATCGCTCCCTCCGTCCGTGACCAATGGAACCGCGTCCCGGGCCCATGCATGCTGCCTACTTAAATCGAAGATGGGCCAGAATGAGGTGCTGGTTGGCATGATATGATATCTGCCCCCATCCCGCAAAGGGATGACGGCGCCCAGTCTTGAACTCGAGAGATGCAACTTAGTGACGAATCGATCCACCTAGCTAGCCACAGTTCCGCCAAGGCATTGTGACAGAAATCCGGGGAATGATGCTATTTATTGGCATTACGTAACCTGCGTTTTGTGGTTGTTTGCTCTTCTTCACGGTCCCCAAACGTCCAGCAGTGTTGTTCATCAGTTGATGATATTTCTCTTAATTCTTTGTTGGAGCAAGGGGTAACTGAGCAATGCTGTATAACAAACAGTTGCAGAAGCAGTAAAAAAGGGGAGGGCTTTCCTCCCTATAAACCCACGAACCCAGGGGGGTAGTAGTGCAAGGTGTGCATTTGCATGCTCCTTCTCGCGCATTCCATACCATGCAATACTTCTCAGCCACACAGACACACAGACACCACACACAGAGTGATATATAATATTCTCCTGCCTCCCACGACCCCACCGATAAAAAGTGCAACCCACAATGCCGGCTCCTACCTCCTTCGGCTCGTCGATACCGCTCCCTGATACACTTGTATCTAACCGGACATTCCTTCTTTATCTCGGCTAGGAAAACGACTACTCGGACGTAAGGCGCCTCCAGGGAGGTGGAGGGGCTTCTGCGGCTCCGCCAGATGGTTCCTCAACGATGTAAGTGACGCCGGAGGCGATTGCGGAGAAAATTCTAACTAGCACCGCCGTTCATTGCCTCGCCAGGGGTCGCACCCTGTTGGGCCGCGGCCGCTTGTTGCTGCTGGGCCATGACCAACTGGGCCTCGGCCTGGTTAAAGACGGCCTGGATGACGCTCTGCTCCTCTGCCGACAGGTGAGAGGCCAACGAGGCATAGAACTGCGGTTGTTCTTGTTGCATTTCTGTTTTACCTGTCAGATCTGGTCCCATGGACCTTCGCGCTGGAAACCAGCACGGGGAAGATACGGATACTCACTCATCAGCGAAGCCCTGAACAGCTGGTAGGGCTCGATCTTGTCCAAGGGCGACTCGAGGAGGACGCTATCCTCCCCTAGCTCATCGTCCGATTCCTGGGCGGCGCCAAACTTTTGTGCCTGAGTGTTCCCACTGTCAGCAAGCTTACAAACTGGAGGAGGGTGGTCCAAAAAGGTCGGAGTGGGCTGTAGTGTAGGTACGGGTAGGAAGGGGAACTTTACCTCCTCGTTAAGGAACTCCAAGTAGGCGGTGCTTTCGTCTTTGGCGTCGCTTGTCTCCTCCTCCTCGACATCATCTCCAGCTGTCCAGGTGGCCTCGTCATCACCCCATTCGTCATCTTCGTCATCGTAGCCGTACGTGCCAGAGTCAAACTGGAAGTCGTCCTTCAAGGCCACTTCGCGGTCTATATCCGAGTTAGCATACCCTCGCTCTCTCACACGGATATGTCATCGGATCACAGCTTACTCTTCAATGCGGCGGGCAGAGTCCTAAACAAGACGGTGATACCCTGCTATGTGTCAGCGAATGTTTGTTTGGTCGGAAGACGTCGGGCAGGCTTACCTGGAGTAGCCTAGGCCAGCCCACGGAGACGCTGGCAGGGACTTGGTCGGCATTGATTGCCAGAAGTGACACGATGGCGCCAATACACAGCTTCTTGTCATGGACCCGAGTAAACGAGTCCATGCTGCCGAACCACAGGCTGAAGAATTTGTTGGTCCAACCCTTGGTCTCCAAGATATGGAGGGTCAGGACGGGGTTGTAGTAAATCGCGTTGATGACCATCTCCATCAGGTGGATCTTGTACGACTTGACCTTGACGTCCTGAGTGCTGAGCACACCCATAGCCATGTTCACAAAGCCGTGCACGCAATTGTCGATGTGGCCGGGCAGGCTCAGCATCATGGCCTCGGCGAGCTTGCAAGCGCATATCCTGTCAACACCGCCGACCTTAGCGTCGGTGAACATATCGGAGACCATGGAGAACAGTGCCTCGATGTATTCTGGCTTCTGGATGAGATGCGGCACTCCAAATTGGACGAAGTTGTCCAAGGCTGGCAGCATGTCCTCAAGGTAGAGCTCCGCACCCGCCTTAAAGGTTGCGTGGATAAGCTCGAATGCCCGCCACATGGTGGGGGAGATGGACTTGGCAGAGAAAGTGCAGCTGTCGATGATCTCGAACACCTCATTGTACAAATCTGCGTTACTGGTCAGCTGCTGGAAGAGAAAAGGAAAGGAGTGCGGGTTGCATAAACCAAGGGTTCTTACCGTATAGTTTGTTCTCCAACGTCACTTGGATCACAGGCATCAGAACGCCTTCAATATGAAGGAGAACATCGGGGGTGCTCTCGAGCGTGAGGATTAGGGTGCCAATGGTCTGCAGGACGCCGAGGGCGGTTATGCTCTTGTCGTCCAAGAAGTCACCGTATTCGTCATCCCCATCTCGCTTCTCACTCTTCTCCAGCAGTTCTCGGACAATTCGCAAGTATGTGTCCCGCAGCTGCTCACTGAGAGCCACGGCAAATGGAGTGAGCTCGGCGGCGAAGACCTCCACAAAGTCCTCCATGACGTTTGCAAGAGCGTCGATGTCGGCTTCGTTGGCGAGCTTCAGGAGTTGTTGCATGATGGTTGGGATGTTTTGTTGCATGCTTGTCCTGATGACGTCGTGCCTGATCAGGGGCTGGAGAGCGAGGGCGGCGGTCACACGGACTGGCAAAGCCGGATCTGCCATGCAGTCGAGGATGTGTCGGTAGATGGTGAGAAGGTTGCCCTGCTCCTTGAAGTCCAAAAGCTCAAACTTCTCGACGGTATCACAAGCCCGGGCGCGTAGGAAGCCCTGCTGGCTTGTGAAGTCGGGGAAGACATATCGGACAATGAAGTACTCGACTTGGTCAGCAATAGGAGACTTCTTGCCGAGGATGACTGGGGCAAGAGTGCCAATCATGCGCAAGGCGCCCTCCTTTGCAATGTGGTTCTTCTTGTCGTCTGGGGCCTGCTCATACTGGTTGACCACCTCGTTGATGAACTTGAGGATCTCGAAGGTCTGCTTCTTCCGGTTCTTGGTCAAGGAGACGAGGAAGTTGGTCGCTGCCACGTCGGGGGCTGACACCTCCTCGTAGAAGTTGAGCTTCCGGTGTAGGTATTCTTCAGGCTCGTCCTCAAACTTCTCGATGTCTTCCTCAGAGAGACAGAGCACGGGGAAGATGAAGTGGGTGACCAGGTTGGTCAAATTGGACTTCAGGTGTGCCCACATGTCCTTCGGCCGCACACACTCGTCCAAGAAGACGATCGTGTAGGAAAGGCAGGGCTTGCTCAACCAGGCGGTCTTTGCTACCCACTTCTCTATCTCCTGGAGGTAGTGCTTCAGAATCTCGGGGGCGATCTGTGCGGAGAAGTCGGTTGCAAAGCGCATCTGGACCTCGCTGGACTTTTCTATGGCCTGGGGGTTCCCATGTCTGTTCGAGGTCAGCCTCGACGCCACAACATTGCGACACGCAGTTCGCCGTACCTTATGTAGAGACGGTTCAGGTTGAAGTAGGCCCATTTCTTCGCCTTCCACCAGTGATGTGCCTCCCGCTCAGCAGGGTCGTCGACCATGGCACAAGCGGGAATCGTTTTGGACACTGTCTGCAGGAAAATGGTGCACCAGGCAATGTTGGTAGGGCCTTGGCGGAGGAAATCCGGAAGCTCGAGCTGTGGCATTTCATTAGAGATTTGGGTGTGGTTGGTGGCGGGGTTCAGCATACCCATGTTGCGTGTTTGTACGACTTCAATGCGATGTGCAGCATCTCTCCGGCCTCATTGCTCTCTTGATTGACAAGCTCGTTGCATACCTCGAGCAGTCTGGGGAAGCACGCCTCTGCGATCTTATCGAAATGATTTCGGCTGTCCCCATCGCTGGCCTTGTAGCGGTATGAACGGCAGATGGCCAGGAGGCATTGAAGACCAGCGAGGACTGACGACGGGTCATTCGTATTCAGGAGCTGGACGGTGAAGTCGAGGAAGGTGGGCCACCGGTCGGGGAAGTCAAAATGCAGTATCCTCTGGAGGATGGGGATGAGCTGCTGGCGGACCAGGGTCCGGGAGGAGGCCAAGATGGGTAGGAGGCGGTCTCGAAACCGGGCCTTCTCATCTTCGGGGATGACGGATTCGTTGGGATACTGTTCCGACTGTTGCCAGCCGCGATTGACGCGGTTTTTTAGGTAGATGACAGCTACGACACGTGAGTGATGTGGCCGTGAGAAGGAAGGGGGAGGGGAATCGCGCGGGCGCGGGGTCTATGTTGCATACTGGAGAGCTGTAGATTGACGTCTTGGTCGGCCTGCAAGATATCGAGAAGGACGTCGGTGAAGCCAGGATGCCCTTCGGCCTGGTAGAGACAGTGGATCAGAGATTAGCAGATATCGAGGCAGCGGGCTGTGGTAAAAGCAAGCAGACAGAGGCAGGGCCAAGGGCGGAGGAGGTCAGGGTTATGCAAAGGCGGTGGACGCCAAAAGGCTGGGAGATGGTGTTTTGTTGTGGCCGTGATGCTGGAAAAAACATACTTGCTTGAGCTGGAGCTCAGCCCGCCTGCGAACATCGGCATCGGCATCAAGGGTAGCGGCGATGCAGCTTCGTACAGTGGCGGCATCCATCTTGGGCAGACACGAGAGTGAGGCAAGGTGGTGAATAGGATGTTGTCAAGAGGACGGCACGAAGCTTTAAAAAAAAATTCGGGGTGCTGGCCACTGAGTGGGCTGGGCCTGTTTACTGCCGCTTTCCAAATGGCGGGGCAAATGATGGGTTGTTAGGGAAGATGGCCCCAAGGAAGGGAGAAATGTGCGATACGTCGCGCCTGTGTGCCCGAAAATCCTGGTACCGTCGGTGGGGTAAAAAAATAAAAGCATGAAAAATGAAAAATAAAATAAAAAGAAAGGCTACTCGGATGGGCGCCTCTCGCTGCGGTACATCGATTCCGTACCTTTCCCTCTTTTGTGCGTCGAGTTCGATTGGGAAAGACAAAACTCAGCACACGAGCAAGGTGCCTAGCCTACCTACCCAAGTCGAGGAAGATTGCCACCACCGAAGTTACAGCAAGTCCCTCTCCCAAGTTGCCTAACCCAGGACAAACACCTACGTGGTCGGCAAGGGGAACCGAGGATATTACAACCTATATTACCTATCCTGTGCACACATCGAGACCAATGAGCACCGCTTCCCCAGGCAAGATGAAAGATGTTTGAGCTGTTTAGCCGTGTCTAGAACGGCAAAGGCGAGACGGAACCTGAACTGAAAGCTATGCCTTTCCCTCTGGCGGGTTCAAGGGACGGGAGTCATGGAAGCAGCGAGTCAGGATCCCGCGTGGCTTTTCAGCTAGCTGTACGACGTAAACTCAACCTCAATTATTCCAAGGACATCTCTGGTTTCGCACTCACAACTGTTGGCACTTGGCATGGAAGTCCCTGAAAATCATCCCTGCCCACAGCTTAGGTAATTAATTACAAGGGACCAATATTTCGACCGGGGACCCATATTTCTACGACAGACGTGGGAAGACGGACTCATCCAGCAGCGTTGTCAAAGGACCTCTCCCCAAGGAAGGATCCTGGGGTGAAGTAGAGTGACTCCGAAGTGGGTTGGGAAGAATCCGAGAAGTTGGACTAGGTACCTACACATGTTGTGTCAGAGCCATGCACACCTTCCACGTCAGAAACACACCGTTAACAATCCGAGCTAGAGGTAGACCGTGACATGTCATTTATTGAGCCTGTCTGTCGCGTGCAGAATGTCTCCCCTAATATTGGTGAGGCCATGGGTCGTAGCAATGGGACCAGAGCAACTAGATTCACAAGCCTGCCAAACGATTTTCACTCCGGGCTACAGTCACACACACATGGAGCCTCAAGGCTGGAAGGTCCAAAATGCCCTTGATATTTGTGCCCGGCCGGCAACTTCAAACGATATGATAAACCAAACTCCAGAGTACTCCCTGCCAACAACATAGTTAGACATCCCTTATAACTGCAGAACGAACAGGTAAATTTCTCCTGCGTGACGACAAAACATGTAGCATCGTCCAAGAATCCACCCGATCCCCAGCAAACCAGCTTCTCTGGTCTAACAAGAACGCCTCGCAGTCAACCACATAAACTCCCGACCTCTGCCACTCCAAAATGTGTCGGAAGCACTTCCCAAAGCCTGGCACCAAGATAAGAATGCCGACGGCGGACCTAGAATTTCAGTCGGTGTTAGCAGTTCCACCCCAGCCGCTACCACCATCTTGAGTTGCAGCAATCCATTGATCCGAGGCTCATTGGGCATGAAAGTAAAGCGAAGTGAAATTAATGGCAGAAAGAGACAACTGACCAAAACGTACCAGTCCATGACGGGGTGGGAACGTCGTTTGGGAGCGCTGAAGTTGCACCGATTGTCAAGGAATCCACTTTGACATCCTGGATGGTCAAGAGTAATCCCAGTCTGGCCACAAAACGGAAAGCACAAAGATCCTCGGATATATCATTGCCGACGACAGAAGCCAGATCGGATGCTTGGTCACTGGTAGAAATGATGAGGCAAGGGACAACGGGCCGAGTACCGGAGCCACCATGACGGCTGTGGGATCCATTGCCGACGAGTCCGACCGAGTAATGCGATGCGAAGTGCAAATGAAACGGAACACCGAGGCGTGATCAGTCGAGTGAAGACAACGAACGAACCGGAAGTTGAAGTTCAAGAACCATGCTACCGATTCATCATGGAAGCCAAGGAGGTCAAGTCCCGCTGGAGAGTTCCGTTGGCCTAGCCAAAAACCTCATAAACCTTACCATGCGCCAGAATGGGCGAGAAAAGGGTCATGTACTTTTGAGCTGCTATTTTCGTTTCCGGAATGCAAGCTCCCAATGCTAGGCTGGCTGGGGAAGCCAAGAGCCCGTGTGAGATCCAATCGTTCGCAGCTGGAGAGCTGGTGGCGTTCGAAGAAGCCAGATCCAGAGACATCCATTGCCAAATTTTAGGTGTCCGAGATGCATTAGCAAGCAGAAGTCCATTCCTGGGAATTATGGTGTGAATCCAAGGGAGAGAGCCAGTATCATCCGGGAATAGTAGTTCTTGAATCCAGGACTTCCGAGGACATGAATGTGTAAGATCCAGGCTTCCCAAGGGAGGACATTTGTGTCCAGACTGCGACGACTGTGGTATGTCCTTTTCTGTCGGTATTAGTTGGGCCGAGCTCGCTCACTTCGTGATTTGGGAACGCCATCGAAGTGCGGAGAGAGAAGGCTCTTCAGTTGTGGAAATCCTTTGCCAAGGGCTCATTAATATGTACACAATCCAGTACTCACCGTGCTGTCCGGACACCAGCCCTTGCCTGTTGGCCGGTAAGAGAGAAGGCAGTGCTCCTGGGGTAGCAAGTAGAAGGCTCTCATCTCCGGGACTCGCGAGAACAAGGGGACGTCAGGTGGTGAGGCAAGCCACGAGAGCGACGAGCCCTGATGGCCGGGTCCGGACAGCACGGGAGACGAAACATATCCATCATCGTTAGACCATATCCATCGAGTTTCGTTCTTTTCCCGTTCCAAGTCCAGTCCCGGTCCGTTGGTATCAGGCGGCCGCAGCATTGACAAATGCTCAAGGTAAGAAATTAAGGAAAGGAGGAAAAAGAAGCTAGCGCAAAAAAAGTGACCACGAGGGGCGCACATGGTAGTTCACACAAGATAGCTCGCCATCCTTCTATGCATATGCAGATGTCAACAGAGCCCTGGAGGGTATGTGGCAAGAAAGTCGACGGAGCGCGAGGAATCCGACGTCGTGTATGCGAGGCTCTCCGGAGAAAGACAATCCTGGAAAACGTGAAGAGCCAGTTGGAGCCGCCGGTAGGAAAGACGTTTCGGGTCATTCAGTAACAGAGGTGCACACTTGCAGCTCTAGAGGTATAGGCCAACCTCTTCTCCTGGTCTATCCATGGAACGAGAAAAAAAAAGCAAGAGAGGAAAACAGAAAGGAAACGTGCCGTGACGCCGATCTCCAGTCAAGGGTGGAACTCCAGGGGTCCGATGGTATGAACAAAAAAGCCCGGCGAAGAAGCAGTCACGACGTGGAATCCCCACGGCGACGAGAGCAATGGGCGTTATTAAGGGCGGGTCCTGTGGCGATGGGCATGCCTTTCTGCGGCGTGTCTGTCGTCCCGGTCTCCCCGGTCTCGCTCTCGATCCCTTTCCCTCTCACGGTGTCGGTCTTGGTCACGGTCACGGCGCGATGTAGTTGCTCCAATGCTGCTTGGGGTCTGAGCCTGGGTACTGACAGACGGAACGGAGGGGCGCGAGGGGGGTTGGGATGCATCATACTGTTGCTCTGGGACCGCACTGTACCCTGTTTGCGGTGGCTGGGTTCCTGCAGGGGAAGCTAAATAATCAGATGGAGCTGGAATGGAAGCTGCTGTTGCTGTGGAGAAGGACGCACCGCGGCCATAGAAGGTATCAATGGACTGAGGCTGGGCGAACGGCGAGACGGTCGCAGCACCACCAGCCGGTGCGTAGGAAGCATAGTCAGTGGCAGGGGGGTAGGAAGGCCCCGATGTCTGATACAAGGTCCTACTGGACAGAGAGGAAGTAGCCACGGGATCCTGTTGCCGGTACTGGGCACCTTGGACGTATTGGCCTGAATCCTGGGCAGGAGTCCGCTGGCCAAAGGGCTGCGGTACCATGGGGGCAGAACCAGCCGGCATGCCGGTGTACATGTCCGTGGGCTGTGGTCCCTGGGCATACTGCTGCTGCGGCGGCGCCGCAAACTGCGTGGCCTGTGGGAACGCGCCCGACGGCTCATAGCGCTGGCCGTGGCCGGCGTAAGAAGCGCCGGAATTCACTCCATTGTATCCTGAATTGCCAGTTCCAGGGTACCGGGCACCGGCACTGTTATAAGCAGTAGGGGGGTCAATAGCCATGGCATCGCCATAGGAAGGGTCCGTGGAGGAAGGTCCATAGTATTGGCGCTGCTGATGAGTCTCTGAGTTGCGGTACCCGTCGTTACCGCGTGACGGGGCTGCGGGAGAGTTAGAGCTTCTCACAAACACGGCGTTCGGATGGCTCGAGAGCATTGTACCTCCAGCGGTATTGCCCGAAGGGCGGCTAGCCGCTCGTCTTTCTTGGTCCCAGCGGGACGAATCGGCTTTGAGATCTTGGATCATGGCCTATTGTGCAAAAAAGCAGGCTGCTCAGTGACTGCGCGACTGCTGGTCGGAGGGGGGCGTCGCGCGCGCGGCGCCGGGTACTCACTGATGTTAGATTTCGGTATGCGGTGATGTAGTAGCCCTGCGTTACCCGTCCATCGGGATGCTACAAAACGATGAAGTGATGAGCATGCTTGACAGCGTAACCGGGGAGGGTGATTGATTGAAACGGCTGTTGGAGGTGAGGTTGACAACCTACCTCATAAGTGCCAGGCCGAACGAGTGCATCGTTGCCCAGGTATCGGCAGACATCTGCCGTGATGACTTCCCGGTCGATACCATCCCGTGGTACGAAATACTCGTTCTGTCGGGCAGAGCCCGGTGCTGAAGGCGGAGGGGGGTTTGCTCTATTCCGGCTGGAAGCCATGGTGTGAGGGTTGGGGTGGAAGACCAAAGACCGACGGAAGAGGAGGTAATATCCAAAAGGGGGAGGAACAGCGACGACGGTGACGAGAGGTGCAACCGAATGTCAGACCACGAGAAAGGGGACGAGGAGTTGGAGGGGGAAGGATTATGGGAGTTGACAAGAAGGGAGGCCGGTGTGGCAGGCAAAACAGGCGAAGAGATGATGAGGTTGGGAGGGAAGGCAGGATGATGGGCGAAGGTGGGTAGCGGGGGAAGAAAAGGACAGGCGTTGCTTCTGGTGGTGGGTCCAGGTGGGAGGGAGTTGTGGGGTTTGCGAATTGAGTTGCTGCTCGAGACTGGCTGGCTGTTAGGGCCCGAACGGGGAAATGGTGGCTGGCGGCGGCGGCAGAGGGTATTGTAGCGTGTTGGCTTTTTTCGCCTCCGTTGGGCATCCAGGGCAGCAAAAGGCAAAAGCAGCAGCGGGCTGGGCAGGGCTCAAATCAACCTAGGCACACCGTTGGCTGGCGGTGTCTTTTGGAGGTCGCCTGACGACCAAGAAAGATCCTTGTTCGTTTTGGTTTGGTGGCAAAGAAACGGAGGCTCGATCGTGTCGGTGCCTGGTTGCCTGGCCACTAACAAGCGCAGGTAGAACGGTACGGCGCGGTACGGCGCGGTACGGGAAATACGGGCAGTTTTTCTTGCGGGCGGGGATTGTCCTTGTCCTCTCCCGTCTGCTAGAATCGGCTTACGTCAGGTCCAATTCCGGTCAAACACAACTTGGGAGACAAAACACAAAAGTTGTCCTTGTGCTTGTGCGATGGGACGGTGGGTGGTGGGGAGAGCCCGGTTGACCTTCGTCTAGGAGGCTGTGACTACCAGACGGAGAGGCTAGCGACGCACAAGAGGCGGCTGGAGGCAGCAGATCAGAAGGATGTAAGTCAAGACTGATCTTCTTGCCTACTGTCTTCTTGGGAGCGACGCGTGAATGCGTGTTTAACTGAGGTAGAAATCACGTGGGCACCGCAAGCTGCGATGGAAGCTCCCACTTTCTTCTCAATCTTTCTCTCGCAACTCGACCACGATGACTGAGTCTAGGTACTTCGTAGTCTCGAGGCGAGTGAGGCTGACGTTGGAGCTGTCGGTGTCCGGCCTGATGAAAATGTGGCTCGTAATATATGACGGGACGTTTTTCTGGGTGGCACCGTTTTGAGAACTTCTCGCCGTCCACTCTCGGTGACCTCTTTGGGGAAGATGCGGGTTTCAAGTTTCAAGTGCTTCTCAACAACGTGCCGCGGAATCATTCGGAACAGGGGGAAAATGACAGAAGAGACAGTCGCAATCCATGAGGTCTTGTATATTTATATAGTACGAGTATATCGACATTGATCACCCATCCCCTGGGATGGCACAAGACGACGTGGATCCGATATGCGCTTACTGTTCACTTGAGGCCCATATGGGTTGCGAAAATTGCCCGTGAATTAAGACAAGGCTCTCTCTTCGAGGTTGGTCGATGACAAGAGTGACATGTCGCGCTGGCCCTGCAAAACGTAAAGCGATTGGATATAGCGTTGTCTTCGGCACTCCACGATTCCTCAAGGCGGGACCTCGAGCCACAGAACCCCTGTGACGTGGTTCCTGCCTGTATTACTTCGTACCTACTGCACTGCGTCCGGCTACCTTAGTTTGGCTCGCTTGACCAGCCAGCTTCTTTTGATGCGTCAAGATCCAGACTGTGCCATTTGACAGGTCCGTCGGGTATCAATGCGTCCAGAGCCCAACCCTGGTTGCATGGGACGTTCCCACGGACGGATGTACCCATTTTATCCCAGCCAATCACCATCGCTTCGTTCCAAGGAAGAATGACGACCATTTCCCAACAGGCAACCAGCGGCCTCAACGCCACTCGGGAACTCTGTCCCTGTCTTTTAGGGGGCGAGATATCCCCATCAGTTTCCCACCGTATTTTGGCGCTACCTGAGATGGATGTCCAGCAAGCTCAGCGCAGTCGTGATTGGTCTCCCAACCCAAAAGAGTCTGCCCTAACCCTTCATCCCCAAAGGAGAGGACCGGATAAGGAAGGCACGAGACTGGAAAGGGAGAGAAGATTACGCTCCCTTCTTTGGCGCTTGAGTAGGCCAAAATCCCCGCGATCCCCGACACATACAGGCATGCTTAACAGCCGACTCGGCTGTACAGCAGCGATGCAGGGCAATGTCAGGATGTTTGATGCCTCTCGGAAGCAGTTTGGAGCATCCGCGAGCGAGGAAGGGCTTGCAGACCGATGTTTTGGACCCACAAACAATGGCTCCGTTCCGTCCCAGAACCTCGCCCACCGCCGACTCCTTCCGAAAGGCAACATGCACCATTCCTCTTTCATCGTCCAAGGCCAATGCATTGCCCTTCCTGGCTGCCAGTCGGTGCCTGTGAGACCATGTCTGTGCAATATGCCGCCTCACCCTCCTGCAGGGGGGAGAATACCTGACGCGATATGGGTGGAAGGCTGGGTGACATGGCGTTTAGCCAAGCTCACTCAACTGAACTTCAGTTTGCTTTGTCCCGGCTCCATCTTCTTTGATTTCCCCGATCGCTTGGATGATGCAGCTGCATCTCTCTGCGTGCTGCGTGAGATAAGTGCAGTGGTCGCCGCGGGGTTGGCAAATACCTGTCTGACACGTTCTTCTTCCTCCTGGAGCTCTTTGGCGAGGTGCCAATCCTGGTGGCTCTGCCTGTCCTGCGCAGTCTCGAGTCGGGCGTCGCAACGAGGACACACGTAATCGCTGATTACAATCTGCTCGCCATTGGATGGGAATTCCTGTCGCACGTTGGATATGACAGGTGGCTCGTCCTGGTGGTGCCCCATGTCCGACCCAAGACCGGTTTCTGGCTTGCCAGGTAGGCTGTAGTCAGAAGCCATCAGGCCGACATCATCGGCGCCCAACTGAGGGCCGCTTCCATGCGAGACATGTGCTCGCGGGAAGAACCGGTGGATCCCCCCCTCGTCCGCCCGTCGTCGCTTTATGGCTAACGGTTGAGTCGCGGCAGCCCCTGACGTTTCCCCGAGACTGGGCTTGAGAGCCTGAGCATTGTCTCCCTTGACCAAGAACCCCCCGATCCCCATGTTTCCCGTAATGCTGTCCTCGAAGCCCCCGATGCTGAGGCTGAGGTTTGCGCATGGCCAGACGTGGCCGTCCCGCGCGATCTGGGTCAGAAGAGATTTGGCATAATCAAACAATACGCCCTCGTCCAACGCCTTCCCCTGCGGGATGGGACCCTGGCGCGAGCGAGTCTGTCCACCATGCCGGTGGTGAAGGTTGAGGGTCCTCGGCCGCCGCTTGTTCTCCAGAACGCCTTCCTCCACCAATCGGGAGTATATATCGGCCACAAATACCCGCAGCCACCTGATACCCTGTTCGAGAGTATTGATGCCGGGGTTAAAGGACTTGGCCGAGAGCATCGACTTGATCTGCGTGCGCGGGTTTACCTCGCTTGAGTCAAGCCCCCGAATTGTATTGTAGACCCAGACTCCCGTGTCGTCCCCGAGCCTCAGCTTCAGCTGCTCGACAGACACGGTCAGCAAGTCATTAACAGTGTCGGTGTTGAACACATGGGCGACCTGGTCGCCAAGCTTGCCGCCTAGATTGCGAATCTTGGTGAACTTGAACCCCGACATGAAATGCCGAATGGCCCGATTCCGTATCACCGTCTGCTGGTTCGGTTTCTTGTAGCCCGAGCCCAATTTGCTGACCATCTTGTTATTCGCTATGCCGGCGGAGCTCGTATATTTTAGCTTCTGCCTGATTGCCGCCCTCACGCCCCGAACGATCTCCGAGCCGATTAGAATGGCCACGTCGTCCCAATCGGGGTCACTTGTCTCGGTCTCTTCGTGGTCGAGGTCCACCAATGCGTCCGCCGCCCAGTCAAGAGCACAGGTAGGCGGCATAGGGAGCCTCTCGCTTGGATCAGCTTGAGGGGGCGCCTTTGCCAGTTCTGGAAACCTCTCCAGCATGATGGAGTGGACATGGGCAGATAGATCGAGGAAGACCTCGTCTATGCTCGCCTTCTCGACCTTCTGCAGGTTGGCCGGGAGGTGCTCCTTGATGACGGCTATAATCCTTCTGGATTCCAGCCTGTAGGGGTCCAACGACACCTTGTGGGTCGCCATGTTGGCCGCGGCGTCCGGGTGGTAAGCCCATTTCTCCTCGCCCTCCCGCCAAGTAGCCACGTGTTGGGTGATCAGGGTTGGGCACAGTTTCTTTGCCTCCACCGCAGTACAATGGCGGCCAACCCCAAATGGACGGGCTGCGTAGTTGACGGCTATTAAGTTTTGCCTTCGCGGGGTCAGTAGATGTTCGGGCGTTAGACGGCAGGGCCAGAGTGAGGGAATACCATTGCTGCACAGCCAGGGGCTGGTCCTCGGCGACGCCGAGACGGACCACCTCACACTGGGCATAGAAGGCGTCAAGGTCAAGATGGGCGATGACCCTCAGAGGGCTGGACGTCGAGTAGGACGCTAGCTGCGAGAGGTGACGGTAGTTGAACCGAGACCGGCCAAAGCCAGCATTGCTGGCCGGGGACGACTCCCGGAAGGGTTGGGGAGAGGAGGACATTGGTGTTCAAGGCCGGGCAGTTTCATAACAGGCATGCCGGCCACCTCGCGATTCCCGGGGCCGTGTGCCGGGTATGGAGAGAGCAACTGATGTTTTCCGAAGGTCGCGGCCACCTGGCGCGGCTCAACGCGGTATGTTTTTCGGGCCGGCACACCGGGATTTAGTGGGGTATCGAGTGTGTAGTAAAAAAGGTAAGTTCGCTCGGGCATAGTACTAGAAATTCCCTCGCATTTCTATAGATTGCGACAGGAGAATATTCGAGAACGGCACCGGGGTTGTGGCCAATGAATCCCTGCTTTGGGCCGATCTCTTTGTGTTGCCGCGAAATCTGTGAGTAAGACCCATCGTCACCACGCTCCACGTTGGCCATCTGCACCAACTTCCTAGAGGCTAGGATAGGTTGAGCTGGAAGGCTTGAGGTGCAATCCGCCCAACATATTAGAGACGGTTCATTGCCCGCCCTCTGGTTTTCGGTTTCTACATAGGTCTCAGGGGCTCATTCCCATTTTGTTTGTCTCTGCCAGTATCGTTGATATGGCAGCTCTAAGCACCGTTCGCCCACGGATATATTCTCCCAGAAACCAAGGCCCAAGAGAAAGAAACGTCTTCCAAATGCCTGCTGGAACTAGTCCCGTCGGCACCACCCTGGGAAGCTTGTTGGTAAAGGAACCGTAAGGACGGCTCTAGACGACACGTGTGTTTTTTCCTGTTACTCGGGGACATTCAGCGTTCTTGACGATGTCTCTTCCGATGTCTCCCTTAAAGACGAAGGTTGGGGAGAGTGTTGAGAGCTCTCTGAGAGTGCCACGCCCCCAGTTCGAGGGATGGGGAGCCAGCTCAATGGCCTTATTAGCATTGTTGTCTCACCAGACCAGACTTATAGGCGGACCCGAAGACACACGGGCGATCGACTTGTTCATGACTTGCCTGCTCTATCTTCGTATTCGACGTAGGATTCCGGAGGGCGCTTTTCGGGCTTGCCGATGGACCAAGTATCAAGGGGACCTCGTTGACCGTTACCAACTAGGCTTGTAGTTTGGATGAATCCGTGATATCCCCGAACGAAACTATGAATCTTGTCGTATCTCGTTTCCCATCATGATGATGCACGACCAACGGGCGTGTGGGGGTATTGCTCCTGAGGTTTTCCTTATTCCTCCCTAGCTTCGTCGACAGGGATGGAGTTGTGGGCTCATATATTGGTATTGTTCGGTAGGTACTCGCCTCGTAACTGGGCATCGATCGACTCGTTCCCTCTCGGGGCGTAGGCAGTTCCCAGGGGTTAGGCAGCTTGCAAGTTCTTCACGACGTAGAACCCCCTCGCTGACATCGGGTCTTCGACATTCTCCTCCGCAGGACAACGGTCGAGTAGGGGGGAGCTATTCGGAGAGTCGTTAGGCCTCAGTCTATACGATGACCTTTTCGAGCAGCGTCGTCAGTGTCGTTCGAAAATGCACTTCTAAGCCCCCTCCACAACTTCCCCAGAGGATGGATCAGGGTGTGGGTCATGCATGCTCCCCGTTGGTACCGTAACCATGGGTTGGGTGTGGGTGCCGCGTGGCTGACGGCAACCCCTTGCTCGTAGCGTAGGATTCGAAGTGTTGATATCCGATATTGGGACAAAGGGGTTATGCACAGGGGCAGGACAAGGAGGCGGTCAGTCCTTCTCCTCTCTCTACGAATCAGAGGATACCTGGTCGGTGTAAGACGTAATGCAGTCCTCGGTGAGAGATCTTGGGGCCTGATGAGCGGTGTGGCGTTGCCACAGTGCAGCTCCTTCGACTGGAAGACCGCTCCCAATGATCAGAATTCGCACCCAACCGTGTCCTTATTGCTAAGGAAGCGGGCGAACAGTATGGCGAGGCTAATCATCTGCCCACGCTTCTGGGCTTTGAAGAGACATAATGTTGCACAATTATTATCCCAGAGGCTGACCCTGGCTCCCGTCGATTTCAAGGTAGCCGACCCAGTTAAAGCGCTAACGATGGCAGCAGGGTCGATTCGGGCTCCTATTGTTTCGGATCAGTGAAATGGAACCAGGTATTAGCCAGACGAAACCCTTCGTAAGGTCCAGAGAGGCACTGTCGCTATCCGGAGACAGCCTCCCCGACACCTGGAGCAGTCCTTATCCTCCAGCTGACACGACATCAGCCTTGCCCACCCGCCCATGGAGAGCCGCAGATTGCCGTAAATTATCATCCTCGCTTAGCACAGTAGGCAGGCGTACTCCCGGAATCACCAGGCTGGGAAAAGGACGCAAAGCTGAAGATGTCACTCACTCGATCAATGCCAACCAGGTTAGTCACTCCGGGCACACACTTTGTCCAAAGACGCACGAAACATGAAAGATTTAACGACGTTATCATTACGCAGGCGCCTCGACGCATTGCGGCCGGTACCCAACCGTCCCCATTGATCTACCTATCCAAACCCTCGCCGCTCCCAGGAGAATACCGCCCAGGCAGCTGCCCCATCTCAACACCTCCTTTCCCATCCTGCGGCACACTTGGCAGACGGTACCTTGAGCGAAGCGTATCACACAGGGGGCCCATCCGGTAGAAGCTCTGGTCATTTTCGTCGTGTACACATGGTGATGGGCGCACCGGCAGGAGCCAATCCAGGGGATTCGTGCCCATAACCGAGACCCAGTTGCCGGACAGGCCCAGGTCCCACGGGTTTTCGCCTACGTCCGTCCTGACGATGGCGAACGTTCGTGTCGCGAGGCGATCGCGAGACGAGCTCGGCCCATCCCTGCCCGTTCCTCCCCGATCTCCGGGTTTTGGCAGCGGATAGACGATGGTGCCATAATCTGGGGTAGGTGGGGTGTCCTGCGGCACCCGGACGGCAAGCTGGTACACGGCGGACTTTTGTCTGAGAATGTCGACGGTTGTTAGGTTTTTAAATATGTAGCGTAGGGAAGTCGCCGTCATGCCGAAGGTGAACAGCCCAAAGAATGCCCCCATGGCGATGATGGCAATAACGGTGCCATCGAGGCGGCTCTCGAGTAGTTGGTCGGTCAGGCAGAGTATAGCTGCGACCATGCAGACCGCACAGTAGAGCGTTGTGTAGAACGTGAACTGAACAAAGAACTTGAAAGCTAGACAGGTATCCGCGTTAGCAACAACAGCGCTTTCTAATCTCCTCGCCCCACAGGAGAACCCACAAGTTTCTGATACGATGCCTCCGACCCATGGGCAGAAATGGTCCATTTTGCGCACGCATCTGTTGATCTCGCTGCTGTGGTGCACTCTGTCGGGTTTCCAGGTCCGGCATGCGCTGCAGTAGCGAGGCCGTCCGTCGTAGTCGCAAACGAAGACCTCCTTGCTATAAAATCGCTCCAGACCCGGGCTGTCCGGGTTGGTGTCTGGGCCGGGCTCGTATGGGTGTGCTTCGATATCGTCGTGCCGCGAGGCAGACTTGCGTCCTCTCCGCTTTCTTCTCCCACCCGGCGCAACCGCCGCATCCGGGCCCAGGGGCACAACGCCAGGGTCGAGCGCGACTACCAGTAACAATCGTAGATATGTGGCGGACATGAGGACTAGGAGGACAGAATATGGGACAAGGAGGGCTATAGCAGTTGATGGCCGGCTTCGGGTATGGAGGAAATAGTCCACTGCGACAAGCACTTAGTCAGAAGAAGAGATCTGACGGCGCAACGGATAGAAGGAAACATACGACAGATGCGTTTGATTACCACATATGTTGCGAATCCAACGCAACCAGCCAGTACGACAGGAATGATCCTGGTGACCCATCTCGTGGCCGCGCGGGTGCTCGCTGAAGACATGTCGCCCCGTCGGTCCCCGTCATGATGCGCGTCGATGCCAACGCCCATCCAATAAGCGGGGCCCTAAGCCTTATAGATTGCCGGCACTTCTTCGAGATCCGGACATGCGGAAGAGGTGCTGGAGGAGGTCGAGGGATTCGGCTGGCTGTTGTTATGTCGAGAACCCACTGGATTCCATGGTTTGGGGACTGACGTTGCATTGCAGAATGCAGAACGATGGTTTTCCAAATTCGCACTGTATGGTGTAGGTGCATGGTTTGGCAAGGGATCATTTTTTCGAAATAGCTTCTTCGAAATAGCTTCATCGCTCTCTCTCTCTCTCTAGAAATGGTCGCCGGCGTGTCCAATGTCCAAATCCGGTCCACACCTGAGCCCGATTGCGACGTCGAGGGAGAAGTTATCACACAGGATGCCTGGTCGGTGTCGTGTAGGTACTCTGCACATCAACCTGCCACTGATATTGTACTTGTACATACATCCTTCATCTAGCTTTCCAAGGCTTCAGGACACCCACCCAAACGGCAGCAAAACGACCCTGCTGGCACTTTGCTGCATCGTAAATAGAGGCTCCTTCCCAGAATCCATATCTGATATCCGTGAGGGGACCTGGGCGCCGTTGGCAGGCTTGGAGAGAAATGGCCTTTTCGAGAGCTCTGGTCGAATCAGAGTCGATGGGTTTCAAAACTCTCGTAGCCCGATCCTTCCATTGGCTATCCCAATACCAATGAAGGGACAAGCGGTTGCGGCTCTTGTTTACATCTGACCTCCACCCCGCTCCTGGCCCAGGCCAACAAATAACCTGGCGAAGGATGTAGAGAATTCACATCTTCACATTGTTGGGGATCCCACAAGGTCATTCCGCCGAGGCTACGGTATTCAGCAAGGCAGCCATAGGACTCGCGAACTCAGGTGCCTTGTCGGAGAAATTGCCGTCAAATAAACCCCCTTTTCACTACACCCATACTCTTCTCAGTGTCTCGTTGAACTCGCCCAGCTAACGAGGGCGACAGCTAAGGCTGAAGTTTTTTATAGTACCCTGCGGCTGGGGAATTCTCTGTGAACAGTGGGTGGTGCCTGCTCACCCGCTACAACCCCCCGGTGAGGCCGGGGGCTGTAACGGTGTGGTGATGAAAGTGGTCACCGAAAGCGAGGGACGAGTAGACAGACAGATGGGCACGAAAAGGTGACCACTTTCCAGGCCAACAGGTCGCGTGTACGAGGCTCTCTTGGGAAGGAAGAACGCCACACGAGACAGCGACAGAGCCGCATGGTCTGATTATGTATAAGAGGCGCCCGGGACCCAGCGCTCTTGAGCCGATATCAAAAGTGGAATCAGACCTGGGGCCACGCTTCCTCAGCGCTTCTTTTCATATTTACCATGGCCATACAATGATGGCAAGCTCGAGTCAACGGCTTAGAGCATGGCTCCTTAGCACTCTTGGGTACTCCAGCTTTCCGTGTTCGGCTAGCAGAAGCCAGGCAGTCCATAGAGGTATGCTCCAGATCATCTCTCTCAGCCATCGAGCCCCCTTGGTTAATAAACATCGATCTAACCTGGTGGCAGCCCTTGAATCATGCCTCATAGGCTATATCCGAATCGTTAAGATAGTCCAGACCAGGTTGGACGTGGGCGTTGTGGACGAGGACGAGGACAAGGACTTGTCCGACATGGCTGCGAGCCAACCTACCAGCGGTATGGACTTTTCGTATCTGCCGATTTCTCTCCCCATGGGTCTTGCCATTATTGGGAAGAACACAAGCCAATTCAGAGCTTGCAGGTGTGCCTCGAGACCAAGATAGAAGAAGCCTTCGATGTTCTCCAGCCAGCATACATGGCTACCTAAACGGTTTCCTCATCAAACTCCTCCTTTGCAAGATGCAGCCATTCAGTATGGGCCTTGCACCGTGGGCCAATCACAGCGCAATATCTCCGTGGATGGTTGTGTTGAGCTTCATCATCAAGCGATGGTGGGGAATGGCTGTTTGACTTAGTCATCCGACTCGGGTTCCGTCCAGGTTGTCCCAGTTCAGTTGAATTTGCACCGATTCGGTTCCGGGCACGGGCAACTCCCAAGCCGAAAAATCGAGAATCGAAAAAACAAGGCTGGATGCGGCTCAAACCGTGCGAATGCGGAGCTGGGCATCTCCCCTGCGCCTGAGGTTTTTTGAAGACCCTGGACATTCCAAGGGCTCGACCGACGACGTGTTTGCTGGCAACTAGAGCCTCTTGGGCTTCCTCAGACCGGGTTTTTTGAGGCTCTGTGTGAATTCACTCACTAATAACACATGACTCACTGCCTAACGGGGGGCTCGCCCGAGAATTCAAACTCCTGGTGGATTGGCTAATTTGTGCACCGCCACATTACACTTGCTATGTGCCTGCCTCGCGCTCAACCTTGGGATCCTTGATGAAGCTGCTCTTCGGTCTACGACTACCTAAGGTGTGCAAAGGTCGATGGGGCGTACAAGCCCGCTATTACCGTGTACAACGATATTAGGCACGGGACGCTATGACATGGGACCCCTGCGAGCTGATTGCATGGGGGCTTGGGCCGGGTGCCAGTCCGGCAACTGGAGAGAGTACAGAGTACTTACCCAGCAGAGCCTCAGATACGTAGGTACCGATCCCGGACACCCCAGTCAAATTCCTTCCTTCATACTGCTGCGCGCTACAAGTCAACCAATTTTTCACACTAACGACTAACCGTCCATTTACACATCTTATTTGCTTAGTCCCACCTCCGCCTTATCGATCTGAGGTTGCGCAGAACGGCGCCGAGCTCCGGCTTGCTCCCAGTGAGGCGCTCAGTCGTTAAAGGCATTCCAGTTGAACCCAGGTCAACTGATGTTCCCGATTCGACTAAATTGAAGCTCCGGGTTGTTGCCGTGGAGGCTGGCGCCAACACTCTGTCCCGCCCTGCCTGTTACCGAGAATTACATGGGGCCACTTCAAGACTTCCGTCTCAGAAGCTTCTCTGCTCGGGTCTAGGAAGCATGGCTTGAAACGAGAGGTCAAGGACGATTAGGGCCCTCGCGGGAGGACCCGCCGCCCGAGGACGAGAACAAACAGCAGCCGGTAGTGAAGCGTGAATTGTGGCGATGGCCTATCGTTGTCGTACGGGGCATTCATTCGACTCTGCCTCTCCACGCGCCTTGTTTTTTTGCTCATTACTTTCCCTGATAACCGTGGTTCCATTGGAACATTGCCCGTTGCCTTCTTCTACTCCTTGACTCGACCCGTGAGGCGGGAATAGGGCGGCGTGTATCCCGTGGATATGGCCGTTTCTAGTTGCCATAGGCAGTTGCCTCGCGACCGGCCTCGAGGCCTCCTTTTTTTTTCCCCTCAGGGACAGCATCTCAGATAAATAGATGCTGTACCAAGCTCCAGGTACGGTTATATATCCTAAATCATCACCCCTCAACAGACTGCAGAACCTTCAAGTCGCTTTCGATATTCGAAATACCATACTCCCTGCTCTTCACCTCTCCGTTCCAATATCCCCCCAACCAAAAACACAATCCCTCTTCCAATCACCATTTTAAAATGCCTCGCAACACCTCCTCCAATACGGTCGTCTATGTCTGGACCTGCGTACTTATGCCCCATGCCCCCTTCAATTCAAGGACATGTTGTTCGCGGATGCTAACATTCTCTTACAGCACAATTGTGGCTATGGTGCGATGACGGTTGCGGTGAACGACGCCTGCTGCGAATGCGGCCATCTCCGGTGCGAGATTTGCACCAGCGAATACCACAAAGTCAGGTCCAACGCTTAGGTATGTCGAGTCGGTCGCAGTATCTCGCCATGTCGTGGTCGCCCAATGCTGACTGATGGGCGCGTGCACCAGGCGGACTCGGGGCTGGCGAGCAAAAGACAACGTCCGGCACTATGCCACTCTTGCCCCAATGCATCGGGATTTCTTCGTGATCCATGTCGCTAGTCATGCCGGTTGACTACATTGTGGTCTTCTCCGACCGGGGGGGACGGTTCTGAGGAGCCTGCGAGTCGGGTTCCACAGGAGTTGAAGGGTCGTGCTTTATTTCCCCTTTTTCCTTGCCCCTAGCAAGCACATGGCAGAGCCAGTATTAGACGGTCAGACGGGAGGGGGTCTCGGTTTAAGGTCTTTCCCTTTTCCTTTTCCTTTTCCTTTTCCTTTTTCGTTTTCTTTTTCTTTTCTCTTTTTCTTTTTCTTTTTCTTTAGACTTCTCTCTCTTTTGGTCTGCGAGTGGCGGTTCCTCGAACTGCAAGAACCATGGCATCACGTCGGCGGGTTAGACTTCCATTTAGCATTAAGACGCATCGCGGTCGGCCGCAAGCAAAACGGAGGTAGACTTGGGTGGGCGTTGGCTGGGATTTCTTTCCTATGTTCTTGGTTCAGATAGACAGGGTGCATCACCAAAATCGACTTTCGTTATCCCCCCCCCCCCCTATGGCGTCTCGTCCGTGCCTTGAAGACTGCTGTGCCAATGGGCGTCGACACCTGCTGGTCATTGGTTCTGCTCTTCCAGCCAACGTGATCCTTAAGCAAGCATTTGCCCAATCAGCTGCACTTCCACCAAGAAAGAATATATGCGTGGACTGCAAATGATTACTGCCTGAACAGGTTGGTCGGGTCCGATCCAAGGTGCTCGTCGGGATCCGGCGCCGAAAGAGCTGCAGAACGGGGTATGGGAGAGGACCTTTGCTGGTTGGCCACGGTCTTGCAGAAGTGAGTCCAAGCACATCACGGACCGGAATCATGCCGTCTCGGTCAAGCGTTGCGAACCCGGGAGATAACGGGGCTGAAGAATGTATTGGATCGGCACATGGCCTTTTGAGATGGCCATCTCCATCAATGCTAGACCTCAAATAAGAAACCTGCCCGCTATTAGCAACATTCTGTCGCGTCTGGCCAAGAGGGGGTCGGCGGGGGAAGTTCGGGGCAGCAACGGAGGAGACTTGTCCAATGTTGGCGACCTTCACCTAGTAGTGCGCCATCGGTATGAGCTTCCAGGGGCTGCTCTTATATCGCCACTTGAGGGCTTCTGAGCTGTCGCTCGTGTTCGGCCATGGGCTGGCCTCTGGAATTTGATTGAGACCACGCTCGTGGGTGCGTGGTTCGATGTCTCGGCCTGAAGATGGACACCCCGCATCTCGTCCCATGAGACATCATCCATGTGCTTTTTTTCTTGTTTTTTTCTATTAACAGACGGGGTTGACACTCTGAGCCTGAAAGTTACTGCAGTACCAATAGAGATCAGATGAGGCGGTACCAATTCCAAGGCCGCGGGATATGGGCAAGCAGGTAGGCTCTTGATGCCAGTATCTGCGTCCCGTCATTTGGCCATGTGGTCGTGGGAGATCCCGGCGTTTCCTTCGAGCGGTGGAAGTGAAGAGTCTGGCTCGAATCAGATGACCAAGGTTGGCATCGTGCCAACGGGCGAAGGAGGAAAGCGTGCCCAATGACGTTATGTCTCCGGACTGGGAATGTAGGATACGGAAGATGGAAACTGACGAATATCTTCTGACCCAACACCGGCCACGAGAAAGGAGCTAATACCGAAGAAATCTAAGACTGGGGGTGCTTCGTGGTTGAGGTGCACGGGGGTGAATGCTAGACGAAGGCAAAAACACCGACCGGCAGGGAAGAGGATGGCGAGAACTGCCACCCATCTCCTACAGATGGAGTTTAGGGGAGAGCATCATCGTGAAGGGAACATGTATTTCTAACTGGGATATGTAGACAGGTATCAGTCCCAGAAGTCACTTCCCAGGCAGCTGCAGATGATAACCTGGAACCTTCCAAACCTGCCTGGAGGATGTCTCAACTTTGACATTGCAACATGCAGTTATCTCAAAGGGCATGGAAAGAGCCAGGGCTTGCCCGCAAATGCGAGGATGGAGAAAGGGACTCACGAAGAGGAGCAGAACCAGCTGTAAATACTCAAGCCTTTCGTTGACTCCCCGTTTTCCATCCATGTCGTCCACTTGGGGGTCACAGTCGATCATCGTCACCCAACGGGAACACTGAAGTACATACATACAAGCTTGGTCTGTAGTCGCATACCTAAGAAGGTCGTATCGCCGGTTCTTTTCCATGGAAGAGTCTCCTGGGAGTTTTGTTCATGTTAACATCCATGCAAGGCACGCTATCTGGGATGATGAGGTGCAACTTGGGATCACCCTGTGCGTGCGCCCGTGTGTCCGTGCTAGATGCTAGCCAATTCGACCGCCACACCGGCTTGCTTGTCAAAAGCAAAACTCCACCGCGACGACTGGAACCCCCCTCGAGTTCACTCCCGGATTATTTTGCGCCGCCCTGCTACATTTTCCTGTTACCGCCGGGAACGATTCGCCCATCATTACGGTACCGAGCTGCGAAATAGTCAAGGTGGGAGGGAGGCGGCCGTCACTCGGTCGTGGCCACCCCAGGAGACGATAGGAAAACATATAGCAGGCCAAGTCCCAGATATGTAGTCTGTGTGTGTCTTACAAACCTAGCGGCCGGAGCTTCAAGCGTAATTTGGCCGCGTGGATTGTTCCCATGTGAAGCGTTGACAGTACCACCTTCACGGCTTGAAGGCCAGCTACAATGTAAAAGGAATGACACATTGGCTGCAGTTGGGTCCGAGATGTCGTCATTGACAAGCCTCGTCACCTTCCCAAGCTGCCCCCTTGAAGGAGAGAGAGGTCGAAGAGTCAGTTGCTCACTTTCCCCCTCCTCAACTCAGCCCAAAGCAGGGGTCCCGGACGAGGTGCAGCACACTTTCACCAGGGCAAGGGAATGACAGGCGAGCTGATGATGATGGTGTGGAGGTATGCGGCTATCTCCGCAGCTCGCCATTCCCTCCTTCCCCCCTCTTACATGGTTCTGGAAAGAGATGGCTACTACGTTATCGCTGAGTTGTCCCCCTCACCGAATGGGGGTCTGTCTGACTGGCATCCCTTCTCCCCTTCCAAGGGGCCGCCACTTACCCGACCAGGCGCGGTATGCATGTACTTGTACTATAAACTCCAGACCGCATGGGGCCGACCCCTGGCGTCTAGTGTTTACCCCCCTCTCCTCTCCCCTCTCCTCCTCATCAGGCAGCAAATCAGCATTCGCCAGATACTCAGCAACAATCTAAGATAAGTTGTACCGACCAAAAAGATGCCGAGGAGTCTAGTTGTTTGAGTTGGTTTACAGTACCGAGACAGTCCAGGTAATACGGTTAGACAATAGAGTTTGTGGATCGGACAGATTTCCGAGGTGGATGGCGGATGGGCGTGTAAGCGGAACGAGGCGTGTGAGGAGCGAGAGCCCGGTTAGGGAGGAGAAGGGGGGAGAGGTGAGGAGCAAAACGGGGAAGAGGCCGGACGGGGTGGTGGCTGTTGTGGTCGCGTTATGGGGTTCTATTGTTGAATTGTGCACAATAGCCTTATTGTGATCCTAATCTGTCCCCTTACTGGCCGCTAGGCAAGGTTCTCGAAGCTGTCTATTGATCGGTGTTTGATCCTATTGTTCTCCTGTGGGTGGCCCTACCTTCCCCCCCAGCCTCTCTCTTAAATACCTACCTAGCTTGCCTGGTCCGTTCCCTCCCTTTCTTACTTCTGCCCCCCTTCAATACAATTTATCACTGGACCAGCCGCACATCCCCACCAACACACCTTCTTCGTCTCCCCCATTTCGACAATCCCACGGACTCTGCAGGCTGACATGTTTGCTCGCGGCCTTGCTTAGGAAGTGAACTGCACTCCATTGCGTCTCCAATTTCTCCGATTCTGCCCGTTTGTTGAATCACTTGCCCACCCACTTTTGGCTTCAGCTAGCCGGCCTGGACGAGCCTGGGCTGAAGGAACCTGCCGCACGGCTCCCCAACTCCCCCCCAAGGGAAAACACCAAAGCACACAAACTTCCCACCAGCTCAAACGCGCCAATTTCCGCGCCCTTGGCTTGCTTCCTTTCACACAACCACCACCAGCACCACAATTCGCCGCGTAACCCCATACTCCTCCACCCTCGCAATGGCTGAGCTTGCCACCTTACCTACCTTGTCCACTTTACCCACCGAATCCAGCTTCTCTGCCCTTTCGACTGAATCCTCTTCCCAAGTCGCGTCGTTGAGCTCCACCCCTCCAACCTCCGTCTCTCCCGACAGCGTCTCGCTCGCGTCTGATCATGACACTCCCAAGCCCGCCAACACTACCACACCGCTGCTTGAGGGGTCCTGTTTGCTACAAGAGCAGCAGCAATACCTGCAGCAAGAAGTAGAGCGGGAACAACACGTCGAGGAACATGGCCCAAGCATAGCAGTACAGACACTCCCCGAGCCACCGCTCCAGGTCAAGACGGAACCGGAACCAGAATTGGAAACCCGGCCTGAACTGGAACCGGAACTCGATGCTGGCCAGCAAACACCCATTGCCCAGGCGATAATCGTCGCCGCCCAAGCTCTCACAGCCCCCGAGCCGCCCTCCACCGGACGCTCCCGGAGAGCACGTGGTGCTGCACCACCGGTATACAACCTTGCCAAACTGAGCGGCACCGACATCCACGGCAAACGACGCGCAAACGGCGACCCTGTGCGAGAGAGGCGCCGACGCACAACCACAAGCAACACGCTCACCGGTGCCGACGCGCTCGTCCGCAATGGCATCAACGCGTTGGACCTCGATTGGGAAATCCGCGGGCCGAGCACGCCGCGAAGCTCGCGCACGACCAGGAAGGTGAAATCCTCGCCCAAGGACGAGCTCCCGGCGCGTAGGCCGACGCGTCTTTCCGGCGCGGCTGTCACCGGGACCCTGACTGCGAAGATGTCGGCCCTCGGCAAGCGCAGCCGGAAGACCTTCGAGAAGGGTCTGTCGCGCCTGTCGCGAGAATTGGCGCGTCTGCAGGACACGGACGAGTTCTCCCACGTCGACAAGCGGCCCGTCGTCCACACCGTCTGGAGCAACGGCAAGTTCGTCGACCCCCGCGAGATCGAAGCGGAAGCCGCGGCCCCGCCGCCGCGCAAGAAGGCGAAGACGGCCTCGAGCCCCGAGCCCGAGAAGAAGCAGGAGGTTGCGGAGAAGCAGGAGGAAGGCACAAAGGCTGGGCCAGCACAAACAAAAGGTCATGTCAAGAAATGGCTCGACAAGGGTCTCTATGCGGGCCAAGAGGCTCCGGCCGATGTCTTCAAGGGCCTCACGGCACAGGAGAAGAAAAAGCTTGCCCAGATTCCCGAGTTGGCATCCGGCACCAAGCCTAACAGGTCCCTTCCCATGCCCATGTTCGGTGGTCTCCGCCTCCTTCTCACCGGACGCGACTTCAAGCTTCCATACGACGTTTGCAACCCTCTGCCCCCAGGCCAACCAAAGCCGACAGCTTACCGGACAATGACCAGGAGTGAGCCCCCTTTCTCTTTTGCCTGCCGTACTTTTTGCCTTTGCACAATGGCTGCATGCTGACACGGGATACTCAGATCGGTTCATTGGCGATGCTGCCGCATACTGGAAGAAGCAGCCGCACTTCAACGACTTCCAGTCCAAGTGCGTCTGCAAGCCCGAGGATGGCTGTGACGACCAGTGCCAGAACCGCATCATGCTGTATGAGTGCGATGATACGAACTGCAATGTTGGCAGGGCCCACTGCACCAATCGCGCCTTCCAGAGCCTGCAGGAGAGGACCAAGCAGGGGGGCCGGTTCCGCATTGGCGTCGAGGTCGTCAAGACGGGCGATCGAGGTTACGGAGTCCGGAGCAACCGCTGCTTCCAGCCCAACCAGATCATCATGGAATACACTGGTGAGATCATCACCGAGGAGGAGTGCGAGCGGCGGATGAACGAAGTGTACAAGGAAAACGAAGTAAGGATCGCAACTTTCCCCCCTTCCACCCTTCCGCTACTTGCTCTATTCTGGGCGCCTCTCTTTTTCATTTTATATATATATCCTTTTGCAAAACGTCTGACATGTGAAACCCATTACAGTGCTACTACCTAATGTCCTTCGACCAGAATATGATCATCGACGCGACTACCGGTAGCATCGCTAGGTTCGTCAACCACTCATGTTCGCCCAACAGCCGCATGATTAAATGGATCGTGTCCGGCCAACCGCGCATGGCCCTCTTCGCCGGGGACCGCCCGATCATGACTGGGGAGGAACTGACGTACGACTACAACTTCGACCCCTTCTCGGCCAAGAACGTGCAGAAGTGCCTCTGCGGCAGCCCCAACTGCCGCGGCGTCCTCGGGCCCAAGTCCCGCGAGCCCAAGGCCCAGAAGCAGGCCCCCAAGGAGGACGCCGGCGCCGCCGCCGGCAGGAAGTCGTCGGTCAAGGCCGGCGTCAAGGCTAGCAAGCGGAAGCTGAAGGAGCTCCTCGCCGGCGACTCGGACGACGCCGCCAAGTCCGCCAAGACCAAGAAGCGCAAGATCGCCAAGGCGACGGGCCCCGGCGCCGCGGGTCTCAAGGCCGCCAAGGGCGCCGCCGCGGCCCTCAAGCGGAGCGTGTCGAGCATATCGGTCAGCACCAAGGCGGCCCTTGGGTCCAAGAAGGGGGGAAGCACCAGCGGCACGCCCCGCCGGGCCAGCACCGGCGGCCTCAAGAGGTACTACGGCCGGAAGGGCGGCGAGGTGATCCGCACGAGCAAGGCCGCCATCGCGGTGGCGACGTCGTCCCGCGGCGCCGCCGGCCTCAAGACGGGAGACGGGAACAAGCGCACGCCCAAGAAGAAGATCGTCTTATCGTCGTCGTCGTCATCACCGGGCAAGGGCAGCGGTAGGAAGGTTGGGAAGGGCACACCGTCTTCGGCGTCTTCGATAAAGAAGAAGAAGAACAGTAGCCACAAGAAGGTTGCCACGACGACGCCCAACAAGCCCGCCGCCGCCGCGTCGCCGTTGTCGTCATCGTCGCCGCGCAAGCGCGTCCCGTCCAGGAAGGTCCTCGAGGCGGCTGCGGCGGTCCCCGCCGCCCTGCCGGCGTCGCCCGCCGGGTCGGCGGCCAAGTCGCCCAAGCCGAGGAAGGGCCTCGAGCTCTCGCGGGCCGCCAGGGTCAGGCTTGTGGAGGACGTGGATTAGCTTGGATGGGACGGGATGAGATGATATGGTGGTTTCTTGTTGCTGCTTGCTTGGTTTTTATCTTTGCTACCCTCTTTTCGCTCGCCGTTTTCTTTTCTCTATTTTCCTTGTTGTTTTTTTCGAGTCTTTCTACCTCCGTCTATTTTTTCTTAATTTTTTGGTTCTCTCTCCTTGTCCACTGCCATTGTTGCTCTCCCCCCCGTTTTTGTTGCGGGACTGGCCTTGCAAGCCGGAAGAAGAGCGCCGGTGAGAAAAGCGAGAAGAGGGGTGGTGTTCAGGAGGAGTAAAAAGGCGATCGGTCGAACGGATGGCGTTTCTTAGGGTCTTGTCTTTTTTCCCTCAGGCTGTCTTTCTTCACCTTTCCCTCCCTGGCCATCGGGATGAAGGGGGAAGGAAACAAAGGAAGGGAGGGAAGGGGGCAGGTAGGGTAGGGTAGGGTACCTAGGGAAGGGAATTGCGTTTGGCTTTGCAAACTCGACCAAGCAGATTCGTTGCTGGATGAGAAAAGGCCAATTGTACCAATAGCTAGCTGCTTGGCCCGGGACGTAGCGGACGGTCTGATATGTAGGCTCACCTACTTGGCAAACTATCTGCAGCTGCAGGGTGGGAGGAGAATAAGGAGCATCGACGAGACTAGGGTCTGATAAGGGAATGGAATGTGCTGTCTTCCAAGATCGGGATATACGGAAGCGCTGGATGTAGTTTTGAGGCCAACTTTGAAAGTTACACGTTGTGGTGATGGTGATATCGAGAGAACCTACGACTTGCCCTTTCTGCAGGTGACGAAGACATCACATCATACAAACAGGCTGAGAGGCTGAGCTCTTGAAAGTTAAACGTAGGACATGAACTCTTCAGTTGCTATTGCTTGCAGTCTATGTAACTCTTACAACGCCCGCATCTCTTCCGTTCTGTACACATGGACCCCGGGGAATGGGGCCACCGCGCAACATCCACCGCGCAACATCGTGTAATATAGACAAGCAAGGCACTGCCCGAGCGGGATTGTACCTAGACGGTCATTCACATTCTCGTATCCGGGCACTCAGAACCCTTCCCGAAAGGAGGCGCCTCATATGGTTTCCACATATGACCGTAGTAGGTTTGGTGGCCATGCCTAATGGCCGCCATTGTCCTGTGTGTTAGTATTTCCTGAGGGCATGATATCATACCACAACATTTCCCAAATCCGCATCGTTGATGAACCACGATGGAGAGCAAGCGAGGTACCGGCACGGCGAGGCTGCCCTAACATACTCGCCCACTCACCCTCGACCCCCGCTGTCCCCGGAGTCCACGCCTCACCGGTCGGAGGTCCCCCCGGCCGCCCTCTCCCGGACATCCGCCCCCGCCTCGTCGGATCAGCGGCTCGGCTTGTCCCTGTGCGGCTCGGCGTGGAGGAGGTAACTGAGCGGCGCCCCGGCCATTCCGTGGCGCGGCAGCGGCAGCGGCGGCGCGTGCTCGGCTGGTGCGGAGCTGTTGTTGTGCGCCGGGGCCTGTCCATGTCCCTGTCCCTCCTCCTCCTCTTCCCGCAGGTCTGGTTCCCCGCTCATGCGCGCCGCCGCCGCCTCTCTCGGGTTGCTGCTGCCAGGCGTGTCCTCCGCTGCGTCTTCGTCGGCGCCCGGTGGCGCGGACGCGGAAGGAGGTAATAATAGATGCTGCTGCTGCTGCTCCCCCCTGAGCGCGTGGATCTCGTCGTCGGTCACTCCCCTCCAGCTGCACTTGGCGTGCTTCTTGGTGCAGCCCTGGCAGGCCGTCAGGTGCTTGATGCACTGCGTCTTGAGCCTCCTACATCGGTCGCAGGGCGGGGCGATCGCGTCTCCCCTGGATAGCTTCTCTATCCGAGCCTGGATGAGAGGCCTGTGGACGGATGACGGGTGGTCGTAGGAGATGTCGCGATGTACGGGCGAGTCTGGCCCGTGTGGTGGGGACGGACGGCTGCTTTGCAAGAGCAGCTGTGGCTGCTGCGTGATGCTCGGGGTGGCTCTGTGCCGGATGATGTCCAAGGGAGATGGCGGCGGGTTTAGCACCCGTGCCCTGGAGATGGGTTGTGGGCTGGGGACAAGGAATTGCTGGAGAAGGTCGGCGTGAAGATCGTAGCCCGGGTTGGGCCCTCCGCTGCGCCGGAGTGGGTTTACTGACCTGGATGCCCCGGCGTGTGACTGGTGCTGGCTGGAGAGCCGGGCGATGATGCTGGCCTTCCTCCCGCTGAGATGATAGTTGAGCTGTCGAGCCTTTCTCGCAACCTCGTCGGCCTTGTTGATGAGCGTCTGCAGCCGCAGCTCGAGGATCTCCAAGGTAGCCAGCTCGGCGGTCTCGTCCTCTTCGAGGGGATGAGTGGGCACAAGGTGGAATCTATCTAGGGCGCCCGACACGATGAAGCGCCAGTCATCCTCGCTGATCTCGACCCTGACATCCTTGAGATAGAACTGGCAGACCCGGCGTCCGTCAGGGGTAGTGGTCAGGTTGAAATCGCCGGGATTTGTCTTGGCAAAGGCGACAATGTCCAACCAGCTTGGGGAGTACCAGGACGACGCTCTCGAGTCCCCAAAGGGGCTCCGAGGAGATACCGAGATGGTGCCCTCAAAGACGCCCTCCATTGCTCGCAGTAGCCTCGGTGCGGTGGGCTTCGCGCCGAGGTTGGCGGCCAGGCTTTCGTGACGGCTGAGGACGCCTGTCATGACTCTATCAGCATTGACCACCGTTGGACAAGTGGACTACATATACGTTACCCTCATACTCGTCAATGAGCGATATCACGTCCGAGAAGGTCTCGGGGCCACCCTGGATTAGGCCTAGCCTGGAGTTGCTGGCTCTGGAAAGATAATTAATGGGAGTGCCATTGCCTGCTTTGTTCACCACGTCAGTCTGGCGCCTCCACCACCACCGGTTGTGACACACGGGAGGGGGAGGAGAAGTTGATCATACTCTATAAGCGCACCCGACAGACATACATACCTGATTGAGGCGGCGGAGGTTGGGGAATCCGATCGGCGTGGCTCGACTGCTGGACGGCGTTGTCATCGGCCTCCCGTTTGCGTTTGTGGGATTCGGAGTCTTGACTGCTGGCAAGTGGTGACATATCGCCAGCATCCAGCCTTGGAGGCTGTCGACCGTAGCTTATGTAGAGAAGGCTAGCTCGAAATTGGGAGTTGATTGTCCAATGATGTGCCGCTCGGGCTTGTAGGCTGACGATTCCAATTGGCGGGACTTCTGGTGTTGAATGCCCTTCCTCTTCACTGTCTTCCTATCTCCCCCTCCTTCTTTTCCCCCAGCTCTGCGACGTGATGCAGGAAGTTCCATCAACAGGGGCGCTGAGTGGGACAATCAGTCAGCGTCAGGCGAAAGAGAGGAGCAAAGCCTGCCTGCCGCCCATTTCAGCTGTCACTGCGCAGCTTGTTCTGGGTTAGTCGAAGTTGATGACACCCACTAAGCGCTTGCTAGCTTAGCAGAAGGAGCTTGGATGGTCGGAAGTGGGACAGATCTCAACGGTTTTAGATGGGGAGGGGCCGCGGAAATATGTATTAGTTAACAATTCCCAGTTATTTTTTGAAGATGCACAGTACCATATCCCCATCAAGGAATTGTCATTCACGTTACCACTCTACTGCTATCCGCAGATCCGATCCACTCCCAGGTAGGTCAGAGCCTGACCAACATGACCAAGGTCAGCGGGATCGACACTTGAAGGTCGCATGTCTTTCAGTCGCTCTGGTCCCATTGCTACGACCCATGGCCTCACCAATATTGGGGGAGGCATTCTATCAGCGGAAGGGATCAGGCCATATTCTGTACCGGCCTTCTCTATTCCAGGTTTTTTGAACAGAACTGCGTGTGCCAGCCGCGACCACATATAAATACATTGGTCCCTAAATAGTCGCCATCCAGACTTTTGGGTGTGGCTGCCACACCCCTGCCATATCTAGGTCACAATGGCCGTGACTGAAGACCCAGCCGTTTGACATCTAATTAATTCAAACAATACCACGATTCTTGTCCATCAACAGTATGTTGTTGGCGTTTGCTCTGGGATATTCTTCTTCCTCAATTTGCCAACAAATACGCCCACCATCGCCTGTTCTGAATAGTACAGCCAATCACCACAGGTTGAGCCTTGACTGTTCCGAATAGTATAGCCAGTCCTTGTTTTCCTGCTTCAAGCTGTTCTGTCCTTGTCCTTCAACTTCCAGGCCCCGCTAGCATCTGGTGCTTCCTCAAAGCGCAGCATAGCCTTGCTATGCAACTTAACAAGGAATTTAAGTTGGCGTAGCAGGGCTGCACAGCGCTTCGAGGAAGCACCAGATACCACGAGGGCCTGGAAGTTAAAGGACGAGAACTGCCTTGCCCTTTCTGGTCACAGGTTATAAGGAGATCAGTGGGAAACAAAAGACAACATCGGCGAGATTGATAAGGTGTTGAGGCGTTTGCGGCGTCTCCAAGAGGACAGCTTGGAGCAGGAAAACAAGGACGGGCTATACTATCCATGAGTCTGCTTGGGATGGAATTGGGTCAGACATAACGCACCGTGTTGAGGGCCAGGATTGATCAGGGTGTTGTTAGATGCAAAGATGGAGTCGTGTCCTGACCGGCCGGAGAATCCGTTTTGTATGGCTAGCATTAAGGTTCACGGCGTGACTCATCGGCGAGTTGCATTAAGTTCGAGGCTGAGTTCGAGCTTGCGCATACCATGACACCGAAATTGAGAGTTGTGACAAGTCGTGAGGAAAATCGAATTGTAGCTGAGACTGGTGTAGCAGCTGCTAGGGATTCCGCCAGCTGCCAGATTGTCCCCGATATGTAGCTATGGCCACTGCAACCAGTTTTACGCCAAGCCCAATTCGGAGCTCAAATCTAACCCCCACCATCGACAGCTTCAAGTGCAGTCTATCCGCATTCCATTCCCACTCGACACCAAACGACGCGGGACACCCCTACACACCCTACTTGACCCGCGTACGCGACCTCAAGAACAAGAGAGCGAACGAAACACACCCACCTACCCACCCACACACCCACACACACTCGCCATGGCCGACAGACCAGCCCACCGAGGCGGCGGTGGCTCGCGGGGCGGCGGCGGCGGCGGCGGCTACCGGGGCGGACGCGGCGGCGGGCGGGGAGGAGGAGGGGGAGGAGAGCGGGGCGGCGCCGGCGGTGCGGGGGGGCAAGAGAGGGAGCGGCCCAAGAAGGAGAACATACTCGACCTGGCCAAGTACATGGACAAGCGGATTACGGTCAAGTTCAACGGCGGTCGGGAAGGTAAGATAACTGACTGACCCCCCTCTATCCAAACTTCTAGCTTCC